GGGGAGCTCCATCCAATGAGGGGGTGTCTGGACAAGCAAAAATGCTTATAACTCAGAAACTGTTCAACATAGGAGCTTCAGATTTCTTTTGTTGTTTAGCTCTGATGAAGCTCTATCCATCAGGCCCACCAATCAGTGCCCCCCCCCAGACCCCCAATTTATCTGAAAAAGGGGTATGTGGATATACAAAAATGGTTATAGCACAAAAACTATTAAACATAGGAACTTCAGATTTTCGTTGGTTGTTTAGCTCTGATGAGCGGCTATCCATCACATCAACCAATGCCCCCCGCCCCCCAAAAGAAGAAAGACCCCCACCCAAATCACTAGGTCATTTTACTCTGAAGCCTGTTGAGTGCTGGGTTGATTGGAGTGAGACTGGAATAAAACCCTTTTAAAAAGAGATTGAGCTGGTTTTCTGCTATATTACTCAGACTTCTGTTTATTGATCACAAATTCCCTTCAGACTAGAATGCTTGTTAAGCATTCACACAATTACCTTCATGTAAATATTTTTCATTTTATTCTGACTAGGAAGATTGTTGCTGTCATCAAGAGAAATGCTATTTTTAAAATCTAAGAAAGTAAATAGAAAAAAGATTTAAATATAAAGTAAAACAGCCTACCGTACTTTGTGCTAGCTCAAGTAAGCAAACAGGCAGAGCTCAGTAGTATTACTGTGTCATGAGGATTGTAAAAGAACAGGAACAAACTGATTTTCACATCAGATCAGTAGATGTTGGATTTTTCTGCATACTCAGGGATGGAAACCTTCAGGACATCATCAACAAAGGCAGTCTGCATGAGTTTCTGGTCAGTCTGCATCAGGAGTTTGGATCTGTGGCGTCATTCTGGTTCGGGGGTCGGCCGGTGGTCAGCCTGGGCTCTGTGAAGCCTCTACAGCAGCACATCAACCCTAACCACACCAGTAAGATTACCAGTGGCATGGGAGGATCTTCTTCACGTTATGTCAAATAACAAAACAAACTTTTTTTTTTTTGATTTGCAGCCGATTCTTTTGAGACCATGCTGAAGTCTCTGCTGGGTTACCAGGCAGGGATGAGTGGGGGAGGCAACGAGTCTGTGATGAGGAAGAAGCTGTATGAGAGCGCCATCAACAACAGCCTGAAGAGCAACTTTTCTGTTGTCCTCAAGGTTTGAACCGCTGAGGAAAGCCTCTGTTCACAACCAGCAAGAAGTCGGACATGAAAACTGATTTCACTCCAAGCTAATCTGGTTCAACAGGAAAGACCAGTTGATGATGTCTCTGTCCCGTCCAGGTGGTCGAGGAGCTGGTGGGAAAGTGGCGCTCATTCCCAGAGGCCCAGCACATCCCACTATGTGCCCACCTCCTGGGTCTGGCCCTGAAGACCGTCACCCAGCTGGGTCTGGGCGAGCACTTCAGAGATGATGCCAAAGTCATTTCCTTCCGCAAAAACCACGACGCGGTGAGAGTTTTGTTTTCCATTCACTGCGTGCTTCTTTGTTTCTTATTCTTGTTGAACAAATGTTTTGTGTAACGCCTCCAGATCTGGTCAGAGATCGGGAAGGGCTACATGGATGGTTCTCTGCAGAAGAGCTCCAGTAGAAAAGCTCATTATGATACGGGTAAGCTGTTTGTCTTTGATATTTGTAGTTTTCAGACAGGAGAAACTGGGTAGAAAGTTCTCTTGAGCTCAGAAATGATCCTTTGTAAAACCTTCAAATAAACACTTTGAACGTGACGTTTGTACTTGTTATAGAAATTGTAGTTAGATGTTATCTCAAACTGAAACTCAAAGAAGTCTTGGAACGCTCCTATTTTATGTTACAGACTGAGTTTCAGACAGCTGTTGTGATCAAACATTGTTGAAGCTGCATGAATGAAGCTGACAAAATCAATGAACCTGATCCTTTCAGTGTAAAGTGTACGGTTAGATTCAGTGCTGTCGTTAGTATTTAACTTCTAAACCAAATGGAGGGAAATTGACCCACCTGGTTGCAGTTTTTTGCAATAGCTTTTCTCCTTAGTATAAATAAGAATCTGGATTTGTTTGTGTGGATTTTAAAGACATCTAATAGTGCAGCTTCTTAAAGGGATCCATGATTAGTTGTAACATTAGACTTCAGGACCTCAGGGACCTCAGGACCTCAGTTTAGCTTGTTTGTCGCGCTAGCACCGAGCTAATACATATAAGGCAATATAGCGTGGGC